CAAAATGTGTGTGTGTGTGTGTGTGTGTATAGTGTATGGGAAGCTTGTGAATTATCTTTGCAACTTTATAGTCAAAAATATTTCAAATAAAGTTTAGAATAAAATGCATAGCAAAGTTAATAAAGTCAATGGTCAAATAATAGACCTGAACAAAAATGTAACAAGAAACAACTAATAGCTATAATATATATAATGCATAGCTATTATAATAGCTATAATATGGGGCACCTGGGTGGCACAGTTGGTTAAGCATCTGGCTGCTGGTTTTGGCTCCGGTAGTGATCTCAGAGTCGTGAATGCCACATCGGGCTCAGTGTGGAGTCTGCTTGAGATTCTCTCTCCCTCTCCTTCTGCCCCTCCTGCTTGTGCTCTCTAAAATAAATAAATCTTTAAAAAATAATAGCTATAATATATAATAGCTACAATAAAGATCTCTTTCAAACTGAACAAAGAGAATCCCCCCCCCCACAAAATAAGCAAAAGATATAATACTCAGTTTAGAAAGCAGCAAATCAAATACCACCAATTCCCCTCCTCCTATAAAAAAGAAAACCACCCAAAAAGATCTACAAATTCAGTAGTGGTCAGGGATACATAAACATAAAATTAGGTAATACATATTACTTTATACCAGTCTTGTAAAAACTATAAAGCTCTAATATTTACTCTTGGTTGAACACAGAGGAAAGGGGACTCATGTATTATTAGTGGAACTGTAAATTTTGACAGCCTTTTTCAAAAGGCAATCTGATAACCTTATTCAATTTAAAACTATATATACTTTGCAACCTAGCCATTTGATATCCATGAAACTATTTCCCATAATGAAAACTACCAGAAAATAGGACTTATATATGAGGATGTTTCCTGCACTGTTTTGTAGTAGGGGGGAAAAAACCCAAAAGTGACACCAAGAGAATGCCCATCATATGCAGCCATTAAAAAGAATGAGTTGGAGCTATACCACTTGACTTGGATTAATTTCTGTAAGATATTGAGAAAATCGAGAAAATGATCAATGTATACATGCACTGTGCGTGACTAAGTAACATGGAGAAAACTATGCTATCATCATACATACTCATCTGCATCAGTTATGGAAGAAGGAAATGTGGGAAGGAGGGGCTAAGAAAAGGTAGAGCAAAGAAAAAAGGGAAAGGAAAAAAGGGGGAAAGGGAAAGTAAATGTTTTTGTGTGTACATTCTGTTTATAAACTCTCAGTAGTAATTGTCTCTAAAACATCAGTCTGCGTGTTACCTCTCTGAAGCACATTTCTTCACTAGCTCAAAGTATCACATTTCCTTCAAATGAACATACAACAAAAAGCCCCCAAAAACCAAAATTAAAATGCCTTGGCTAAATCAACCCTGAAAAATGATGTGCCAGTGGCTGTCACACATTCTACAATATTTATGACCTAACATACATGGTATTAAACCTTATTAAAAGTGACTGCTTTTTCAGTCACTCTCTTGTTTCAAACAGCTCATTCTAGTGCACAGTGTAATGAAGAGACAGGTCACCAACTCTGAGGCCTAAGTCCACGAGCATTCTCATTCCTGTTGCTCAGTTATTCTGTCCCATCATAGCAAGTACATCCTCAATCTCCTCTTCGTATATACTTATCAGTACATACTTATAGAAAAAAGAAAAGACAAGGACCTTGCCCTTAAGAGCCTACAGTTTCTTTCTTTTTTAAGATTTCTGTTTTCCCAGTATCCTGAATTCCAAATTTGGAGGCACCCGGTGCACATGGTGTGTAATCCCTAAGTTTAACTTCCTCTATGCTGGATAAACGGTAGCAGGAATATTAGGCAATTAATTAATTGCCAATTATTAGGCAAAACCCTGGAGAGAAAAAAACAGTAAGAGCAAAACTATGTGGTCACCTTAGAGCCAGGAGAATTTACACATTCTAGGTTTAATAAACTCTTACAGAGGAGAGGGGCTGCCATTCCTTACTGCTCATATTATATCCACGAAGATGAACTGCTTCTCAACCCTGAAAACCTGGCTTTCTGTAATATTAAAAAAAAAAAAAACAATTCAGAAGGCCCACACAGCCTTAACAGCAATTTCTACCAAGCATTCATAAAAGACGTAATTCCAATCTTATGCGCTCTGATACAGAAGTTTATCCCAGGAGGTTGGCTTAATATTTGAAAAATCAAATTCATATTTTAACCATAACCATATTAACCCTGGTTAAAGGAATAAATCCCATTTACATTACATAATTACATGAAAGGAATAAATCACAATTATGACAGATGTACCTCCTCAATAGCAGCCAATAAAATTCAACATATTTCCCAAGGTAAAAACTCTTGGCAAACAAAGAGTTACAAGACAATTTGATAAAGGGCATCTACAAATATATCTGCACAAGTATCACACTTAACGGTTGAGACACTGAAAGGTTTACTTGTTTAACAAGTAAACAATGCCCCCACAGCCACTGCTATTTAACACTTTACACTTGGAAGTCCCAGCCAGTGCAAATGGGCCAAAAAAAGAAATACATGATGAAAAAATCAAAGAGGAAGAAACAAACAGTCTGAATCCTGGCTTTGCCACTTACCAGCCATGCAACTCTGGACAAAGTACTTAACTCTTTGCCTCTGTTTCATCTGTAAAATGGGATAATGAATACCTCCTTCACAGAGTTGTTCTGAAGAGTAAATAAGTTAATATTTTAAAAGTACATAGAAAGTATTTGACACTTCAAAGCGCTGTAAAAGTGTTAAATAAAAAATATTCAAAGATAACTGTGTACACAATCTCAAAGAAGCTAAACTATTGGAATTAAAAGAGTAATAATATTCCCCAAGACATGAAATCATTACATGACAATCAGCTGTATTTCTATATACTATTAGTAACAAACAGAAAATGGCATCCAAAAAGTATCAAGTACCCCGGGAATAAAATTAATAAAAGACACGAAAGATCTTTCTACAGGGATAATTATAGACTTAATACTATCCCAACACAAACTGGTAGAATTCAACAAAGTTATTCCGAAATGGTTATGAAAACGTAAAGTGTCAAGAACAGTCAAGAGATCCTCCAAGAAATTTGTCTTACTAGTTATCAAATTCCAAGATTGATGTCTAAATAGTCTGTTAACTCACCTGAGAGAAGGTATCTGTCTGGAATGCTCATCCATTTTGGTATGTCTACCCAGTTCCTCCCTCACTTCTTTTAGATCTTTTGCACTGTCATCTAGGAGAGACCTTTCCGGTTTGCTCTATATAAAAGAGCACTACCCAACATTCTAGTCACTTTATTCCACACCCCGTATTTTTTTTTGGCACCCATCATCTGACATCATTTTAAGCTATGTGTATGTGTTTTTTATGTCTCTCTCCCCCAACTATAAGCCCATTGAAGCCAGGGTGTTTGATACAATGCTGTGAATCTCCAAATCTACTTTGTTATTTTGCTGAATGAATAAATTGGCAGAAATCACAAAAATTCTGACTGGCATATGAAGTATAGTGATTAAATCTGAACTAAATTTAAAAACTGCAAACTCCCTTTCACTATTCATCTATTAAATGATGGCTACCAAAACACTCTAACTCTCCCCAAGTTTAAAATACTATTTTGAGCATTCAAAACTGACCAGTATGTAAACACTGGCTTTTAGCAATGATACCTCATACTTTAATAAGGGAAAGAAATGAAACAAGCCCATAAAAAGGGACCACATAAAACGTAGCCTTGAGAATCCTGATGACTCTGATTAGAAAGGCAAAATGATCAGAGGAACAGGAGTTTAGGTACTTTAATCATGTAGGAATTAATAGCTATGATGGTTTTCAACATGTTAATTTATCCTTTGGTGATCAAAATTGTATTTAACTAGATAATATGCTATAGAAAGTCTTACATATTTACAAATTAACCCAATTTTTGGTGAAAATAAGAGTGATGGATTGTGTGAATTTAACATAAAAGCTAACTAATTCAGTGCTCGGAAGATATGAATTTGTACATTCAAGAGAATCCAGTTAAAATGGTGGTCTACATAATGAACAGTAGGGTATACCATTTTAATCTTTGTATTCTCTCTCACTAATATGTGATTTTTTTTCCCCATAGACCTTAAAGAAAGCAAAGTACAAAGGGTCTTTCAAAGATTTTGGTGAGTTAAGGCCTGTCTTGAACCCTGGAGTATTCTCTTGTTCTAGTCTAGTCCTAGAGTTGAGCTCCAGGGGAATTTGGCTTGGTCCTCAATTAATTCAAGTTTGAACGACTCCTGGGAGATGAAGGAACTTCTGAAGCCAGCTGAAAGGTTTAGACCACTTTTTTCAAGCAAGACTGGGGCGGTACTGGTTGAGGGTACAACCAGAAGAGGAATGGGTAAACTGAATGCACTGACCTCCTACATGGCACCAATTTTGCTGTATTCCTCCAAAAATTGTTTAGCTTTCCATTTAATCTTTGGCCTTTTATAGAAATGTCAAGAAGTAGTCAACATATTCATACATATTACTTTCATTAAGTATTAACTATGTAACAGGAAATCAGAAAAATCACCAGTGCATTTTAGAGAGGCTATGAGGATAGAAAGCATTTAATTAGTTACTAGCTTAAATTTAAACGGCTCTAGTTTCATGATCTAATGTTGCCAGAGTAGAATCTCTTAGAAGAGTCTTTTAAGATTTTTTTTTCTGTTAAAATGAGGATTTATAATACTTATCTTTTCACAATTTAATGATAGATTTATTTTCCAACCAATTCACTTTAAAAAATAAAATATGTTGATGAATAAGCAGCTTATTTCTGGAAGAAAGGCAGGTATCAGACATGAAGAAAGGATTCATTGTGTGTCAACATTGTTGGTTGAGAAGTTCAGCAAATGCTTCCTTCTGGGCTGAGACCAGTATACAGAGTCATCTCAATGGCCTGCAATATTTATAAGTAACTGCCATGTGGCAAATGAGTAATCTTATTCTTATAAAAATACCTGCACACAAACCATAAGGCAGCAATACATTAGTATTTACATTTATTTAATGTATGCAGTTTACACACTCACTATTGAACAAAATTGGAATGCAAACAAATATACAAATACCATAATAAGCATTATCAAATAAAATAACTGGCACTAGTGTTATAAGCATATTAATGGACCTGGTGAGAAAAAGTGGTGGAAGAAGACTGCAGCCCATGGCATTTTTCTTTTTATCAAAAGAAAACGCTCAGTAGCACCATAATGGTAATACTTAATAGAAACACATAAGATGGAACATTTCAAATGCTATCTTTGAGGTTAACCTGTTTTATTTAAGTGAATTGTACAGGAAGGTAACAATACAGGCAGTATTTTGGCCAACTTCTGTTTATGTCAACTGAACACCTTCCACAAACAAAAGCAAAAGAAAATAAAGCCAGCCATACGTGGACCCCTCCTTAGTACTTGGTACAAACTCTGCACCGTGCTTGGGTTTCATGATTGGAGAAGATACATATGTGTTAAAACTGAGGTTATGTATTCACTAAAGCCTGAGTGTGTCTTTGGTAGGCTAATACTTTTTCAGCATTGTTACTATTATTCATATTTATGTTTATCTATCTTGTGTTTGTCTACATAATCCAAGGTGGCTAGAGAGGACATAATGGAAAACAATATAGCAAAATCCTCAAACAACTAGGCCCTTGAGATCCAGTCTATTCCAAAGGCACCAAGAATCAATGGGGTGCAAACTTCCCCTTGGTGGAAGGTGACTTTTTTTGTAATACTTACAAACTAATGGAATTTTTTTTGTAGTTTTATCTTATTTGGTGCTGTCACTATACCTTTACATTTTGCTTCTAAGGTGGCATCAACTATATACAAGATTAGAGTACCAGGTATTTCTATTTCAAAGTTGTGCAAAAACTGCCACAATCTTGCTCAAAGTGTCTAAGTATCCAAATGGTAGCAAATGGGCTGCATTAAGCTTTATATATCTACATTGCATATGAAGAAAAAAATGAAATTTATGCCCAGTCATGAATAGAAATGTTACAAAGAGTATCATATACTGAGAGTAACCTGCAAGGTTCATTAAACAGCATCCCTTAGTGGTTTCAATAAAATGTCACTAACCACTTATCCCTAAGCCTCAAGTTTTCTTCATGAGAATGTTTCTAACTGCATATTAGTATTTTATATTGATTATAAATAAGCCAAATTTCTATCTAAATACACAAGTGTGTGCTTCAAGCAATGTTTTGTGGCAAACACACAAAACATACTTCTAAGAATTATTATCCTTACAATAATGCACTTTTAAAGCCTTCATTTCATTGTTTGGTAATTAAGATCCACATGAAACACAATGCTTTGCTGAACATAGGAAATGTATCTGCATTGGATTATGTAACCCGGCATTTGCTGGTAACTTGAAACTTAAAGTAGTCACATGTAGTTCAACCAGCTCCAAACAAGGTTGTTCAGTGGTAATTAATTTGCAGCATTTATAGGCCTAAATTTCAGTCTGAATTGCAACTTTTAATTCCATTGTCTGATGTGAGTGGTTGTTATTTGTTTCTTTTAGTGCATCACCAAAATATAAATCAACATTGGGTTTTATTCCATTGTTACCATGTTCTTCAGCAATATGATTCAACTGTGGAACTTCTGAACACGAAGCAGTTTTGGTAAGCACAGAAATGCTACACTGATGTGGGGAATTTTCCAGACGATCGTTTTCTACCTCAGGAAGAATGTTAACAGTAGCAAAGCGGGCATGATAATCATTGGAACCATGACTACAAGAAGTTTTCATGCTTTCTAGGTCAGAACAACTAAATTCAGAAAAATGACTAGAGTGGGAATCAGCTACAGATGGCATACTGTCACTGAGGGATGGTGCCTCAAATTCACTTGAGTTCGTGCTTTGTTGTTCTAACAACTGGGCATCCATGTCCTCTCTGGTCTCATTTATCTTCATGTTACTCTTTTTCCTCAATTTACCACTTTTTGCTTTCTTTCCTGCTGTTGCTTCTTTGGACCACTTGGTGGCACCGGATTTACCTTCAGGCAAGCCACTGCATGAACCACCGGGATGACTTCGGGTGGCACTGCCGTCCTCCACACTACTGCTTCCACTGTTGTGCCTGAATTTGGATGGCTTCGATTCAATATCTACTTGCACCTCCATACTGCTGCCTTCTCTGGAACAGGAGAGTAACAGATATAAATACATTTCTAACCTCCTTTTATCTTTATTGAGATAACAGCAAAGGGAGAGGAATTTCTGTGTGAAAAATTCAATACATAAAAGCTATCAGAATTAATGCAGGATATGTTCTATTAAAATATTACTTGAAATAAGAGGACTGTATTTTTTATTATTTTTTAAAGATTTTATTTATTT